TACAGATGTCTCTAGATAACTTGGGGTTGCTGGAGTTTAAAATTTAAGGTGTAAACTGGCAGGAACAAGGCCTGAAGGAGTAGGTCATGACCTGACTCTGGGGGACCATGTGTGCCAACACTAAGGAGTTGTAATTATTTATTTTATTTTTTAGAGACAGGGTCTCACTCTGTCACCCAGGCTTGAGTGCAGGGGTGCCATCATAGCTCACTGTAACCTTGAACTCCTGGGCTCAAGTAATCCTCCCATCTCAGCCTCCAGAGTAGCTAAGACTACAGGCATGTACCACCATGCCCAGCTAATTAATTAATTAATTAATTAATTTTTTTTTTTGTAGAGACAGGATCTTGCTATGTTGCTCAGGCTGGTCTCAAACTTCTGGCCTCTATTAATCCTCCCACCTCAGCTTCATAAAGCACTGGGATTATAGGCAGGAGTCATGACACCTGGCCAGGAGTTGGAATTTTTGCCAGATAAAGCTTGGATGTGCATCAGATTCACTTGCGGCAATTATTTAACATTAACTAAAACCAACAAATCTGATGTCCAGGGACCATCCAAGAGCCTCTGGGTCAGAATCCATGTTGATCTGTATTTCTAATGGCTTAACCGGTTCCTGATACACTCCAGAGCTTAAGTACTTTTGCTATGGGGAAGTTTTTTTTTTTTTTTTTGAGACAGAGTCTGGCTCTGTCATCCAGGCTGGAGTGCAGTGGCATGATCTCGGCTCACTGCAACCTCCGCCTCCCAGGCTCAAGTGGTTCTCCTGCCTCAGTCTCCCAAGTAGCTGGGATTATAGGCACCCCCCGACCATGCCCAGCTTTTTTTTTTTTTTTTTTTTTGTATTTTTAGTAGAGACAAGGTTTCACCATATTGGCCAGACTGGTCTCGAACTCCTGACCTCAGATGATTCGCCTGCCTTGGCCTCCCCAAGTGCTAGGTTTACAGGCTTGCGCCACCATGCCTGGCCAGGTTTTTAAGGGCATGACAATCTAATTTTGTGGCTTGGAAATATCACAATCACACTGACAGAGTAGAGAATGGATTTGAGAGGAAGACTGGAGGTAGGGAGAGAAGTCAACAAACAGTTGATTAAGTGAGAGATGAAGAGGGAATGGCTTAATATCCCATGGCTGTGGAGATAGACAGAGGGATATGGAGGAGAGGGATTCAAAGGCTATTAAGGAGTTGCAATTTGCAAGACTTGGTAACTGATAATATGTGGGTGCAAAAGAGGGAGGAGTTAAGGGTGATTTCCAGGTCTCCGACTTTGACCTCTACATCAATAGTGATGTGTAGCACAGCCACCAACTGAGATTATTTTCTACAAGAACCCCTTTTCTATCCTTCACACTACCTGGCAAGTGCCAGGCCCAGAGAAAGTGCTTAGTGAACACAAAATCAAATGTGGCTAAAGGGAGTTAAGGCCCCCAGGACCCTTATCCCCAAGTAAGCTTTCCCTTTATTATTTTGCACAATGGCTGAAATTCCAGCTTTATGGACAATCTTTTTCCTGCACATCTTATTCACTGCTGCAAGTTCTTGGAATTTAGTCTCCACAGTGGCTGTGGAAAGACTCTTTAGAGAATTTTTTTTTGAGATGAGATCTCACTACATTGCCCAGGCTGGCCTCAGCCTCCCTAGTAGCTAGGACTACAGGTCTGCACCACCACATCCCCACCAAAAGATTTGTTTATGTTGAATAGAAAGTAGTAGACTTTCAAAATGTTTTATTTAACTAGTTTCTTTTTCTTTTTTAATTGTAGTTATATGATCACATTGGGAAACCCTTAGAAGAAACATATATTGGATACCTATCCCAGGATCAGACAGAATCCTTTTCATTGTACAATTGCAATTAGGGAAGGGAAAGGGGAAAAATGGGTTTCTCTGCTTTTCTTGGACTGTCTCATTCAAGATCCTGTGGTTGGATTGTCTTTTGGTTATGTATCATTATGAAAGGTTCTGAAGCTTAGAAAGAAGCTAGGGCGGCTGGGCGCGGTGGCTCACGCCTGTAATCCCAGCACTTTGGGAGGTCAAGGCAGGTGGATCATGAGGTCGGGAGATCGAGACCATCCTGGCCAACATGGTGAAACCCCGTCTCTACTAAAAATACAAAAATTAGCCAGGTGTGGTGGCACACGTCTGTAGTCCCAGCTACTCAGGAGGCTGAGGTAGGAGAATTACTTGAACCCAGGAGGCGGAGGTTGCAGTGAGCTGAGATCATGAAAGAAAGAAAGAAAGAAAGAAAGAAAGAAAGAAAGAAAGAGAAAGAAGAGGGAGGGAGGGAGGGAAGGAAGGAAGGAAGGAAAGAAAGAAAGAAGAAAGAAAAGAAAGAAAGAAGCTAGGACATTTTTAATACTGGTTTAGTGCTTTCTCTGACCTGAAACAAAAGTAAGCAAAGATATCAGGGTGATAATTCTCCCCATTTTTGTTTCATCTCCTGTTTTCTACTCTTAAATTGTGATATAAGCAATTCAGCTGTAGAAAAAAAATTAATTTCTCCAGAGCCTTTAAGTTGCTTTTAACTTGTGAGGTTCAGTGGTCCTTTGGTTCAGTGGAAGATGGAAGGAAGGAAGGGAGGGAGGGAGGGAGGGAGGGGCAGACTAGCTGAGAGGGGAGCTTTTTGAAATCTTGACTCTAAGGCTGCATCCCAGATCAATTAAATCAGAATCTCTGGGGGTGTCACCTAGGTGGTAGTATTTAAATCTCCCCAGGTAATTTCAATGTGTGGCCAATGTTGAGAATGATCACACTAATCAGATAAACTCCATGTGATCATAAATTTCAAGCCCCAAATCAGAACATCAATAATAGCTATCATTTCTTGAGTGCCTACTCTGACAGGCACTCTAATATACCTTGTACTTCTTCTCTCAGGAAAAGCCTTAGTTGCGTGAGGGTGTAATTCCTTTTCACATTTGAGAAATAGAGGAGGTAGGTAGCTTGTTCTACATCACATAGGTAATGTCTGCTTGACTCCAAAGTCCAGATTCTGTAGCTCAGCTGACTACCAAAATAGTGTGAGGGTTGATATATTTTTGTGTTTTAGGTAGGAGACAATTGTGTATTTTATGTCAAGCATCAAAAAGTTGAGAATTCATAAACATATCAATGGTTTATGGGGAAAATAGGCAGCAAATCAAAATCAGAGATGTTTTAGATTCTGAGACATGTGTTAGCTATACACCTGCCATCTCCTGAACCTTTGATGTTGGATTCAGAGAAGGAAGCTTAGAGTAAGAATAGGTATTATCATCCCCATTTTCCAGCTGAGAAAACTGAGGCTTGGCAAGATTGTTACTTGCCCAAGATCAGACATCTAGTAAACCAGCAGAGTAGATCTGTGTTGCTCTATGCCCATGGTCTTAATCACTATACCATACTGATTCCTGATGAGCATTGAAGAGTAGAAGGAAGTGGTATGATGATATATTGGATGGAAAGTTATCCTGAGTTTGGAATCTGGCAAGGAAAAAGGTACCAACTGCTGCCTAAAACTTTCTGCAATCTTGTTATTGAGTAAGATGTTTTCCTAGATGAATTGTCCTGGGGTGCACCATTAGACTGTAGAATCTGGAATTTTCTTTAAGTCGTTGAACCATAATATCATCTGAAAATTGTTTTTAATGATATAAACATCAATGAAATCATGTATTAAAGAAAAATTTGCTCATAATTATATTATCCTGAAATATAAAGGTGCCTTCTTTTATCTATGCTCTGCTCTATCTGGTCCACATATTTATGCTTATATTATGTTCACACTGGTATGATACCCGGGAATCATTTAAGGCCTTTTATCACCTGACACCATATTATAAAGATTGCCTCATGCTGCTATATAGTCTTTACATTGGTCATTTTTGTATTATTTCATTGAGCACTTGGGACATAATTTAGCTAATTGCCTATTGGGGGGCATTTGGTTTGTTTTTAATTTTTAATATTATAAATCATAGTATTATGATCACCATTTTGCATGTAATTTTTTTTGAATATGGGGCCATTTCTTTAGGATAAATCCTTCCAAATGAGATGTTTTTTCTCATTTATTTCTTTATTCATTTGTTTATTGAGACGGGGCTCGCTGTGTTGCCCAGGCTGCATTTGAATTCGTGGGCTCAAGTGATCTCCTGTCGCAGCCTCCTCAGCTGGGACCACAGGCACGTGCCAGTACTCCTGACTCCAAGATGGTTTTAGAGTTTAAATAAAGCTTAAGGCCAGGCACAGTGGCTTATGCCTGTAATCCCAGCACTTGAGGAGGCCGAGGCAGGCAGATCACTTGAGGTCAGGAGTTTGAGACCAGTCTGACCAACATGGCAAAACCCCATCTCTACAAAAAATACAAAAATTAGCTGGGCATGGTGGCAGCCTCTTGTAATCTCAGCTACTCAGGAGGCTGAGGCAGGAGAATCGCTTGAACCCTGGAGGTGGAGGTTTCAGTGAGCTGAGATTACACCACTGCACTCCAGCCTGGGCGACAGAGTAAGACTGTCTCCAAAAAAAAGTTTAATAAAGTTTTTAAAGTTTAATGATACAAAACTTTGATTTATAAAACTAATGTATGCTCTGGATATGCAAATGCATAAGATTATTACCCCCTTTGTCTATCTGTAGTGATAATGGTTATTTACGTTTTCTAAATTGAAGCAAGTTATAAGAAGATTTTTGTATCAGAAATAGGCTTGGACCTCTTTTATTCTTTTTGAAATGGAGAAGTTAAGCTACTAATTTTGTTTTCTTGCTTTGGTTAGAGACCTGCAGAATTCAATCAGATGGATTCTCACACCTGTTTGCAGGTGACTGCCTCTGGCCCTGTTGCTCATCCTGTTTGCTCAGCAAGAGAGCCTGTTGGTTTTTACTTGATAAATGTACAAATCTTGAGAGTTGGAGAATCAGTAGCCCACCTCAAAACTGACATGCTTTGTGTTTTTGAGAAAGCTACCTTCATTTGCTATGATGTCTGGCTAACAAAGATCTTTTTCATTTTGTTTCAGGGACAGTTGGATTTTTTTCCTGTTTCTGGTTAATTGCTAAAATCTACAGTGTGCTGAAGGTGGAGTAAAGTATTTCCCCAAAGGGTTCCAAGCACATCTCCCTTGCCCTTGAATATCTGTATATCTATATGAACATCAATTGAGATATATATGTGTGTGCTTCTAATTACATAATTTTAAGCATATATATGTAAATGTAAAATCTCATTGTTTGGCCTCAGTTTGTATGACACAAAATACTGATTGTATGGAAGAAAACAGGTTGGGAAACAGATTTATTCTACATCATATTTTCCTGAAAAGCTACAATAAAAAGATTTAAATTAAAGCAATTAGAGCAAGGGAGGCACATTTCTTTTAAAAAATTAAAGTTGAGTACCACACTGGTTTTTCAGATGAAGTTTTCTTTCTTTTCCTTTTTCTCCTTCATATTGTTCAGAGCATCTAATTCCATCAGAACTATTGTCAAATAAATTTTAGGTAAAATGCGTATTTTTCTAATGGGAGTTGATTATACAAACTGTATTACACCTTCGTATGTGAGTGATCATTTAAAAATGCATATTGGTTTAGCACATAGAGTTTATGAAATGCCAGATAATGCTCTTATTCCTCAGTGAAATCTGCACATTTCTAGTTGTTAGTTGTCTATTACTATTTGCCATTCCTTGGGGGGCTGAGAATGTTCAAGTTTGACTTAGTTGTGTTTAAATAATAAATCTTTGGAGTCAATTTTCTTGGGTTTATTTGCTTTGCCTAAACAATAGTCAGGTATCACATCTCCTAAAATGCTGGGAATTTGTATTGCAAATATTCTTCTAGCTTGTAGTTTTGGGGGAGCAGCCATGAAAATCACACATTTTCTACATCAAATTGTATTGATAAATATGGGTCTCATTTAGGAAAATGTTTGAAAAATGTCTACATATACCCTTCAATTAAAGGCTATTCTCAAAGCCATTCTTAAGCTGAGGAGTACTTGTTCGTCTGTGCAGGGATCAAAGAGTTTATGTTGCCCCTGGATGGGAGATTGGAATGAGGAGGGACAGGGTCAGAGAGTTGCATTCTGAAAGAGAGTGAAAGGAGGAGAAGGAGTTTACTAGTTACCACATGGAAGAAGAAAATAATTCACTAGCCAGTAATGTGTCTGTATTGGAAGGGTCAGGGCTATGACTGGTGGCAAATGGGCCTGGGGCCTAGAGCAGCCTGGTGGGGCAGGGAATGGCTACAGAAGGCTACAGAAGGTTTCTCGACAGTGGAATTTTCACCTCCTCTAAACCCTCTCCTATTCAGTCTCATAACCTAGGGCTGAGCCCTTAGCCCTGCTTGATGGAAGAAACTGCTGTTATGAGGCCCATTGGAGCCAATTCTATTCTCCTGTAAATTCTCTGAACTAAGTAGTGGTATACAGAGCTTCAGGGACCTCTTTTCCCACCAGCTTGGCTGCTTAATTGTTTTATCTGAGCTCCCAAGCCCACTTATTTGCATTGATGGTAGTAGTTTGCTAGAAAGGCACATTTATTTCTGCAGCAGGAAAATGTCAGTGCCTAGATGGCGTTCACAGATTAAAGTGAAGGCAGTCACCTGCAGTTCTCATGGCAGCCATCTTTGAACATCTTGAAATAGTAAGTCAGCATTTAGCTTGATTTTGGAGTGAAAAACGGAGAAGAACACTTTACTTTGATTGCAATGGGGCTGAATAGCTCCCTGAGCCTCCCAGTGTCGGCCCACCAATACCACTTTGGAGGCAGGAGGCATGCAGTTCCTTGCTCTGCTACCAATGAGAGTATCAGAAGAGGAGCTACTAGTAGGTCAAGCACTTCAACTCGATAGGAACTAGGGGCTCTTAGGTTTTAGACATATTTGCCTATCTCATCTGTGTACAGTAGTTTCACGTGTAATGGTTGCAACAGAGGTATAACCATTTTCTGAAAGGAGAGCTTGAGGGAATGTGTTCTTGCCCTCCTGTTCCATAAACCCTGGTGAGTTGGGGCTGAACCAAGGTGTGTGTGGGAACTAGGCCAGGCTGGGCTGAGTTGTGTGGAGGGAAGTGGCCTGGGCCAGAGTGGTAGGACAGCAGGGGCTGGAGCCCAGTGGCGGTGACCTGGGTGCTAGGCAGTACTGTTTCCTAAAGACAAAGGTTACTCACTGTCCTCCCCTGATCCATCGCCCCTAGACTTCATTGTCTTCAGAATAAAGTTGGGCATTTGAGAGTCCCACAAACCATCGAGCCCCCAGATTTTCTCTCTGCCCACCCCCTCCCTTCTTTTGAAATCCTTTCCATTCATAGAAGACCAGGCTTATGCTCTTCCAGCAAGCCCTTCCTGCTGAACCCCCTCCATCCCTTGCATATTCCTTATATCAGAATACTGGAATATGAAATATTAGAGCCCATATATTTCATTCTACTTTGTAATGCAGTTAGTTGTTCATCCCCTGTCTCCTCCATTCAAGCAAAAGAGAAGGGATGGAGACCAAGGTATGTGTCTCCCTCACTGTTTCCTCAAGGATCTTGGCATAAAAACCAGATACACACATAAAATTTGACTTTATTTAGAATATTTAAGAGGAATATACCAAGGATAGAATAACAGCACCTATTTAAGAAACACAAACATCACTTAATAATACTTAGTTAAATCACAAACATCAATTTCTCCACATTTCCCAAGCAGGAGTCCGTTATTCTTTTCCAGCAAAAGAAAAAAAAAAGGCATTGTAACCATTTTAGAAAGGATCCAATTAAAGCCAACCAATATGTGAAACCTTGGCCTTGGGCAGAGTCTCTGGGACTACTGGCCCATGTAACAGTGTTGATTTATGAATTTGATTGGGGTGTGAGTGGGGTTCTCTTCTTGCTGAGGGGAGGAGGATAAAGCCTACCTCTTTTGTGCACCTGAAGATAAGTCGTGCCAATGGGAACTTGGCCCCAGGACTGTAGTTTGACAATCCTTTGAAAAGGCACTTTTCAATTACAAATTCTTTTTTTTTAAAGAAAAATGAAACTTTTAAATTCAAACGTTAAAATATTAAAGAGAACTGTTTATTGATTAAATATATTTTTCCGTTTTCAGTTTCAAAGCAGTACACAAAATTTGGTATTAAAGGCAGTTTTAGAAACAATTTAATGAGGGTATATATAGTTTTTTTAGTTGTAATATTTATTCTGAAAATATAGCAAAATCATCTTATAGTTTTCCTTTCTTGTCTGACACAAATTCCATTGATATAGTACTGTAACTATCAAACACCGTAGCTGTGACCCCATAGAGGAGTCCCACTACCTTTCTATCTAGCCATCCATGCTGTCTCTATCTTGTCTTTCAGACAATCAACCAAAGGGGGCAAAACAGAGCAGCCTTTTTCTGGGTTTTGTTACTGCTTTAGGAGGGCACGGATGGTCACATTATGGATCTGCCAAGCACAAAACCTATCAGTTCACGGTCAGGTGTTGGTTGGGTCTTCAGAGTGCAGTTTTCTTTCCGTCCTGCTGACTGGACTCTACTTGCTTATCCTGGAGTCCTTCCTTTTTAATGGAGAAGGATGGTCTTCTTTGAGTTTGCATTCTATATATTCAGTGAATAGAAAACAGGCATACCAGTGCCAAGCGTGTGGTGAAAAACTGTTAGCAAGGACTTCAGCCAAGATGATTAGTTCACACTAATGACCAATTGTACCAGAATAAGTTCTCACCTGTCATATATCATATTAGGGATTTAAGGAATGAAAGGCACCACTTCCTGCCACCCCACCTTGGCGCCATTTTACATATCCTGTAGTATACACTTTAAAAATAAATTTTAAAAACAAGTGTACTATGTTCTACATCAGAAACTGACCAAAGTGTAGGTTGCACATAGAATTTGTCATGCATTTTATTAACTAACTTTACATGTACGTACTACCTTTGAGGACGACACTATCTACAAACACATACAATCTAATATCTAGCACCGTATCTCCAAGAACACTTACATTTTATATACAGTTATAGTTTACATTTAGGAGGATTACTACAAAAAATACTACATCACTAAAACAAGACGAAAATACCAAACTTTTAACATCAAAGTTGTAGCACAGATGAAGAGGGGGGAAATCCACTTACGTTTGAAACATCAAACTAAAACCAATCTTGTTTTTCTCTACATTTTAGAACAAGACAGATAGAGTAATTATTCCTCAGACACAGTAAACCTCCTGCTGAGTGTCTAAGTCACTGTGGTTTTCCCTTGGTGTGTGTACTCTGAGATATGGAGGCTTTGGGAGGCAATGACGGAAACACTTGACACCTATTAGCAACCTTCATTTACCTTGAGGATTCTTATTCTATTTACCAAAGAGCAGTGAACTTGTCAGTGACCTGGCAATCTGTGGCCAGGTTCAGTGGATTTTAGCTTTCCTGTTTCTTCCTCTTTCAGTGGATTTTAGCTTTCCTGTTTCTTCCTCTTTCAGTGGATTTTAGCTTAGTTTGCTTTCTGTTTCTTCCACTCTTTCAGTGGATTTGGCTTCCCTGTTTCTTCCTCTGGCCAGTTTCCCCAAATTTGCTTACATGGCAAAGACCCGGCTATAAGCAAGTGGATTTTAGCTTTCCTGTTTCTTCCTCTTTCAGTGGATTTTAGCTTCCCTGTTTCTTCCTCTAGCCAGTTTCATTGCTTATGGCAAAAGACAGCTATAAGCAAGCTGGGCATTTGCCGTAGAGGAAGAGATCATTGCTAAGTGATTGGAAAGAATTTATGACAAGGATTTCTCTTCTTTTTGGATTTTAGACTATCACATTTGCTGTTTCCAGCTCATTGCTTCTGTCTCCTCATACCTTAGCTTAGAGGGGCTTTGAGGGCCGAGATCACTAGTCCAGCCCACGGAAAGTAAGAGAAAGAGATAAGGAGGGAGAGGGTTAAAAGCCATTGACTGGCCACATTTTCTCTCCTTATCTTGGCCACTGGCTAACAGCCAACTGTTCCTGTAATCTTTTGTCTGCTCTAGAAGGAAACGGCATTTTGCTTAGAGAAACCTCTCCTGACAGCATGAGGTCTGCCTCAAAGAGGAATACAACAGAAGAGACTTCATGAGGGGAAAACACGTTATTGTTTTTTTTTTTCTCAAAATATTGGGCAGGGTGGTTATGAGAGAAAAATACAGTCCAGTAGTTTAAATTGTTACTCATTTTTTTATTCCAACAACTCATGAGAGTTTTATCTTGAGAG